AATGATGCAAAAGGAATGAACCCCCTAAAAACAACCCAAAACTAAATAGCTAACACAATGAGCAAAACAATCACCCATAAATTACAATTCTAGACTTAAACTAAATGAGATACACCAACTGACTATTCAAACACCTAACATGGAAAGATTGAATACTAACAACTTCTATTATTGATGCTCCTCACTAACAACAAAGGATGTTTCCACTATTTTTCTGTGAAACACGGTATGAGACGTCATAGGCCAAGACATCACTTTAATGATAGACCCTGTATTACGAAAACACTCAACAACCAAATTTCGTTTTACCAACGAATTTTAGAAAATATACATTAAAAAAAAGCAATAAAAGAAGACAAAAACCTACCCAGGGTAGACACGCCATTCATCCAATAAAAGGACGAATCGACGCGGTAAACCTCACGTCCCAAAATAATGCATCGGAAAAAAACCCAATTTAAACTTAACAGCCTTACAATCTAAACTTATAGATACGAAGAGAAACTTGGTATCGATGAATCTCCTGAGATAACATTGCTAGGGGGACCTTCATTTCGAATGAAAGTACATGATGAAGAGATTCGTTTGTCGTTCTCACCAGATGAGGTCGGATGAAAATCGTTGTACTGCAGCATTTTAGTTTTTATATTAAATTCATGTTGACGCAGTCGACGAGTTTTCCTCCCTCGTTTGGGGTAAAAACGTGCTGAGCTTTCGTCCATCATATGATGGACATCATCAGAGCTGGGTTTCATTCTTGTTAGTCTAACTAAAAATCTTTACAGACAACACATGATACATGTCACATATTAGTGATAGCAACATCACGTGTGAAACATATGCCAATAATAAAACACATAAATATTTCATAAAAGAAATAAAACACAGAAAAGCAAAAAATAAAAATACCACTAAATCAAATATCCCAAACTAACAAACCCTCTATAAATTGACTAGCCAAAGTTTGAGTTACCAAATAAGCAAAAGAAAGTTTTACCAATAAACTTAATATTAATGTCAAAGGTCGTATTATTTGACTGTTACACTCACATATAAAAATAAAAGGCATTATTACAAAAGAAAACACACGAGGGGAAGACCCTTTGGAATAGAAAGCTTCAATATCTTGATAAAACTAAACAATTTTTATATTGATATACCCAGTCACCGAGGCCTAACTAGAACTGGTATAGCAACATATATATTTGTATAACTTGAAACAAAGGACAATTGAGAAACAAGTAATAAACTTAAACACAACACAGTAAAGTAGGAGTAATAAAACCTCTGAATAATCCTAAACTGGAAAGACGCAAAAAAAATCAAGAAACCATTTTTTAGCGAATATTCTTCACCTGTAGTTCTTCAAACTAATGCTCTCAATTTAAGCTAGCTAAAATTAAAAAGAGAACACCTAGTTTCATCTGCAACCAAAATACAACATGCTTATACACCACCCTATTTCAACTACGATTACACCAACGAAATAATAAGTGAAAAAAACAACCAATCCCAGCATCGAAATCACACTTGGAAGTTTGAATATTTTATAACTAACAACGTTCAACCGTCGTATAAAACCCAAACCAAATAATACAATAGGAACTAACCTTCTCATTAACAAGTACGCTAAAAATACCCTCAACAACACACAATTTTTAATAATAGAACCAACTGATCAAATCTCAATAAAGAAACCAATAGATGGTGGGAATGATGCCACATAACAAAAACCACAAAAACAAATAAATATTAAAAACCACGACGTATTAAAGGACCAGCCAAAATATAAAAAATTTCGTCTTCCTTCCAAGTATGAAAAAAACCAAATCAACAAAAAAAGAAACCCAGAAGATATGCCAGTGCTTAGTCCAAACAATGCCATGGCTGAATAGCCAAGCCCAGAGTAAGACACAAAACATTATAATACCAGCGCCATTTGGGCTAGACTCAAAAAAATAATCAACGCTTTCCATCCAACTCAATCAATAAAGAGAAAAAAATACACAAAAGAATCCAACCAAAAACACATAAACTGTAACAGAAACAACGTCAGAAAAT